CTGCAGGCTAGGGCACCAGAGGAATTTGCTTTTGAAGATATGTTCCATGGTGCTAACCTCAACCCCTCTCAGGTGTATGTAGGGCATACTGTGTGGTGATGAGACCCAGGTCACAGAGATCTGGGTGAGTGATGGCGTTTGGGGTTGAGGGTAGGATGTGAAGATTCTGAAGATGTCAGGTCTTGGGAGAAACAAGAAGACAAAGCTGGAGCTCTTGCTCTCAGATCCCCAGATGGTCTAAACATCAGGCGATTAGCACGATTAGCACAGGGTGCTTGGGAGTCCTGAGCAGATGCTTGGAGACCACAAGAATTGGGGGCAGGGATGAGTTTTTAAGACAGCCTACAAGAAAGAATCTTAAAAACACTCCCTGAGTGTCAGGGTAATCGGCTCCCGCTGGCTCTCTCTGCTGGGGTGCTGCTGACTGGAAGGGAGATAATTTACCTCTAAGAGGCTTTATGGCTCCACACTGCTGTCTGTGAGCCAGAACACAGGTGCCCCTGGCCTTAACTTAGTGATCTGGCGCCACCACCCACCCCACCACCCCATTGCTGCGGGGACAAGTGACCTCTTAGAAGATCAGGTCTCTCTATCTAATTCCGTACTGTTCTGTCTCTCCCTCCACCCTGGCCTTGCTCTGAGGAACTGCCCTCATAGCTTTTCCCTAGCCTCATGGCAGGAAGGATATACAGAGCCTGGGGGGTGCGCAGGGCCTCAGGACTTCTCCTCCACTTCTCCCCATCCCATCTGGTTCTGGCTTAGATTAGTCAAGTATAAACGAAGGGAAGCCAGGATATTTTAGCACAGGTACATTCCACATAAGATTTGAATATGCCTAAACTGAAAATTGCTGTTTGTCTAGCATTAAGTGTTTTGCATTTTATTTGACATCCCAACTTTGACTGCTTCTTCCTTCTTCTCTGGAGTAGGGTCCAAGAGAGTTGAGGGGGGTCCCCTAGAATTATTCCCTAACTCAAAGGCACAGCTACAAATTCTGTCCTAACCATTGGTGAACAAGGGCAAAGAGCCACTTTTGGTAATATCTGCCTGTAATTCCAGCACGTAGAAAGCTAGAAGCAGGATCATAGGGTCAGGGGCCAGCCTGCATAATGAGTTCAAGGCTGGCCTTGGCTATGTAGCTAGACTCTGTCTCAAAAACAATAACAAAACAACCTCGTAGAACAAAAGCCCCATATCCTGTAATGAACAGCTTGTGGTGACTGACAGTTTCAGTGAAGCTCTGGGGAAGTTCAGCAATCAATAATTGTTACCACCACTAAGAAAGATATCTGTGACCATGTTGGTACCTCACTGCAGGAGGTGGGAGGCAGAATTGTCACCAGTCCTGTGACCCTCTCCTAGGGCCTCCCAATGTCTTGAAAGTCCTTTGTCCACCTCACCACTTCTCTAAACACCTGTCACAGCCATTAGATTTTCAGGAGAGATGAGAGTAAGGATAGTTACAGTAGTCAGGGGTAAGGAGAAAGGCACTTAAGACACACCCAGGCTCTCCTTCTGCCCAGGCAGGCACCTCCTTCTTCTGTCCATGCTCCAGACTCCCCTGCTTGCTGCCAGCATCACAGCTGAGAAGGAATGCCTCTTGCTGCAGATACAGCAGCTAAGAAGTACCCCTGTCAGAAATCACATTGTCAACTGATGGGTTTCAAGCCAAGAACATACAGGCCTGGCGTTTGCAGGTGGGATCCCCTTTTAATGACTTGGGGTACTTCTGCACTGTGCAATAACCCCCTTCCTGGATAATCCCAGATGTGTCACTGTGTTGCTTAGAGGTCAAGGGGCGAGAGTCTATTCAGTGGGATTCTGCTGACCTGTCCCAACAAGCACTGCAGATGGACTTGGTGACACTGGAGGTGGCTCCTGACCATCCAGGCAGAGTCGAAGGACCTAGACCTGATGTGGGAAAAGATGAGGAGTCTCTTCACTGTCTCCGTATATTCAAAAGGGGTAGACTCACTCTAGAGGTCCAGGGACAGACAAAGCCGGTCGGTAGAAGAAGCTAGGAACATCTGTATAGAGACAGAGACAGAGACAGAGACAGAGACAGAGACAGAGAGAGAGAGAGAGAGAGAGAGAGAGAGAGAGAGAGAGAGAGAGA